ACACACACACACACACACACACACACAGTAACAAAAAAAGATTAGAAGAGCAGCTGGTAGATTCAAACCACATCGACGCATCTCCTTACCACTTAGAAGAGCTCCCCAGAAAGCAGTGTGGATAACCTCTCAGAAACAAAAAGTTTCTGGGTCATGAAGTTAAAGCACTCAGCTGCTATCCCAAAGGCTGGTGGTTCAAGTCCCCCCTGAGGCACATTGGAAGAAAGGCTTGGAAATCTCATCTCTCCCAAACTCTCATCTATTAAAAACTTTATGGAGCACAGCTTTACTCTGACACCCGTGGGTGTTACTGAGTCAGAATCAGTTCCACCAGACTGGTTAGTTGGAGGCAAACAGTGGTGAAGTTTGTCTTTTTTGGACTGCTGTGAGGCCAAAGGTTTGATTGCCTTGGCTCCTCAACTATCTGGAGATGCTGAGGAGTCACTGGCTTGCTGGGGTGAGAAAGACATCCCCTTCTCTAACCATCCCTCAATATTTGCTCTCTAGGTCACACGATAGCACCTGGGCGCCATGGCCTGGACAAGACGGGCTCAGCTGAGTCAGTTCAGCCATCAGCCAGAAAATATGGGGCTTCATCTAACCTGGACATGGACCTCCATGCTAAACGCAGCATCACTCCTTCCGGAGCATTTCTGTTGAAGCTGCTCAGAGTGTGCCAGTGAATTTCCAACTTCACACCAAGCTGTGCTAGACACTTCTTGAGATACGGAAAAAGGTCAAGACATAGTTCCGACCCTTAAGGAATGGCTAGACAAGTTGATCAAAGGCAATTTAAATATTGTAGCTTCAAGTACGTGGTACTTGGGCTGTGAGGAATCTGAGGCCGTGGTGGGACTTTGGAGACGAGACTGCGCAGCTTGTCAGCCACCCGCTGGCCCCAAAGAAGAAAGAGGTTGCATTCACTGCCTATCACCTACGAGTTCAGAATCCCCAGCAAGCTGCTGATGTGTTGAAAGAGAACTCGCTCCGCTTATACCAGAGCAGCTGTATCTCATTTGGAGGCCGCGGACCGACTTGGGGAAGGAAAGCAAAGATGAAGCCAAACAAGAAGTAACGAAAGATGAGATATAAACCGAGTTTCCGCAGAGGCATCGATTGGTTTGGGTTGTTCACTGAACATAGAATGGATAACGAACTAGCTTGTTGTCAAGTTGGAACTCACTCCTAGCTGACCCACCAGTGGGTTTTCAGGGCTTTGGCCATAAATCACACAGGGGGAGCGCTTGCCCATCCTTCTCCCTAGAAGCAGCTGGTGGATTTGGATGGTGCACCTTTGGGATTCCAGCACAGCTTCTTGCCACTAAGCTACCATCACCCTATCCAAGCACCTCCAGTTTTTGTTTTTTTTGCTTGTGTCAGCAAAGGAGGAAGCTGAACCCTGGAGAGGGGAGGGGAGGTCACTTGCTGAAGTTCCCAATGCTTGTACTCCCAAGTCTTTAAAGCTATTGACCTTTCACTTAGCCCAGATGTTGGGATTCAACCCTTAGTCTTCCAGGTTTTTATCTCAAGTACAGGAAGGATCAGGCAAAGTGCTAGCTGAATAGGAGCAACAATTTTCTCAGGAGGTGCTAGTACAGGAACTTTTACCACAGCTGCTGTTCTCTTCTCTGAAATAATCCAAAATACCCCTCTTCCAGGATATGGGACTACTTGTTCTCCACTCTGCCTCAGTTCAGACATTTCAGACAGACCCCTGACAACCAGAGCTCTATCAACACATTCACAATTGAGGCAACACAGCTCAGGCCCACTTCGTCTGGGTTCTCAGGCTGTGACTCTCAGAGACTCTGGGTCTCCCAAGTCTGGGTGGCTCCAGAGCTGTGGGGGGCCTCTCCCTTCAAATTGTTATGGTGGACGCTGGAGTCTTTATCATGGATTGAAAGTTGCTATTGCTGGTCTGGAACCCCGGGTGGCTTGGAGACACACTGAGGCTTTGGGGACTGGGATCCTTGGGAATCACAGGAGAAGTGCACTCGGTGGCAGGAGGCAGGACTTCAGGAGTCACTGGGGCTGAATGCTGAATGCTGCTTGTTGCAAGATGATGCAGGCAATGAGGCAACGGGGCTGGATCTCTGCTTCCCCTCCCTTTCCTGTCTCCCTGCACAGTAAAATCAAAACCAAAAGATGTTCTCCCCTCATCGCCTGACTCCAGAGATTTTGTTTTTATTTCATTTTTCAGGTAATAGGTAAGCAATGACGACAGCTTCTCACTAGAACTATAAATACCCAAATCTGACACATTAAATGCACATGAATCTTTGTGTAGAGCAGAGTCAGGGAGGAGGATAGTGAAAGCGTTAAAAACAAAATTTACCATCACCTCTATCAGTGTTGGAAATGGATTAGAAAGTTGTCATTGTTTCTGGAAAAGTCCAAAGAGTAAATATTTTGGGGTTTGCAAACCATGTAAATCTCTGCTGCATATACTTTGTTTTTGCTGTTTGCTTTGTTTTGTTCTTAAAACAAAGGTTTTAAAAGGTAGAAAGAACCCCAAGCCATTCTTATTTCTA